TGCTGCCATGGAAGTTTCACCGCCTACATGTTCTAAGTTGAAGCCAGGTGAATTCTGAGGGCGAATCATGTTACCTAGAGGGGAGGATGTTTGACTTGTACGGTGTTAAATTGTGTATCAGTGTTGAGTAGTATAAACTGTTTGTAGACCGTCTACAGATACCTTGTAGACCGAAGCCCTGTTGAATTAGGCTGATATTATGGAAAGTAAAACATCTTGTTTACCTTGACTTGACTTGCAGTTGAGTGCACAAGCGTATCGGGAAAATCTCTTTCCCACGCATTTCTAAGTGAAATTGACGATATTTGGAATTTGAATCTGATTTAATAACTCGGATCTGGTTTTCTGGCTTGACCCGGTAGTATGGATACTCTACCTTGTTTGGTGCCTCCTAGGTCCCCTGTGCCTTTGACTGCCTTTCGCATTGGTATGGGGGTATTTCAAAGGGTTCAGTGAAAGAAGCAAATAGATGATCCATGTAACGACAACTTCAATTTTGTGGGAGGTTAACTGAGGTTAATTCAGGCAGTTGCACACACACTTCCAAGTGGCATGAAAGGGCATTTTACTTCATTACTTAAAACGCACAAGCTAGCAATCTGAACAATAAGGCAGGAATATTTTGGTCCACCTTGTACGAGTAACCTTTGAACCAGACTCCATTATCGATCGACCACTTACAACCGCCTGTGCAATCAGCTGATTGCATTGACTGCGTGACAACTTGTCCGAGGAGGTGACACCATCACCACCCTTGAAAAAACCACAAGAATGGCGTTTGATCTGTCGTCCACGGCTGTGTGGGAACACCTACCACCGATCAGCGGTCGGGTAGGGCTCATTAATCCGGGAGACACCTCAAAATTGAACCAATCACCACATTTGGCAATGCTGAAGCCGGCCCATAAGCACATGCAGACGATTGAGGGCAAACGTGCAATGTTGATCATGGACAATTGCATATCCAAGATGCTACTCGTTGCCGCTTTTCCACAGATCAGCGCCAACATTAAGTACTATGAGCTACTGCTCGGAAGGGAGGTCAAACTACTGTTTAAGGAATATGAGAAGGTCTCGGCTGAATACGAGATGGTGATGAATTTGTCGACCACGAAACCAACCGTCAGTTGTCACAAGCTGCGTGAGGTAATTTGGAAAACTCTAATTGTAGCTCGTACACATTTGTTGGCAGATAGGCACACATGTTTCTTTGTTCTCCGGTATAATTGACACTTAATGGCTATGTTAACCACGTATCAATCTACCGATTTAGACCTTATTCGTTTTTTATGCTTATTTTTCTTCCTCACAAATTTCTGTTTGAATATGACCTCTGGCAATTTGCAAGTAGGCGAGAACAGTTGTGGTTGTTTGTTTTGCCTTCAATCTGAAGTCGAATTGTCCATCCTTCTGCATTTTTTCCTCCATAAAATATTTTCCCAATCCGTTTTTGCTATTCAGCTTTCCTTCAAAGTGCAAATTATTTGGTTTATGAAAATATCTTTAAATGCTGCATTCGCAGTATTTACCTACAGAAGTGAACTTTTAAGGCTTTCGAGGAATTAAGCCAGTGCGAGTTTTCAACCACAGCTTATTTGTCACAGCTTTCGAGTGCACCAATCCTAAGTG